GGTGCAGGTACGGCAGATAGTGTAGAACCTTCGGGCGGACTACTTAAATAGGCACTCAAAAGGTGCATGTGTGGCTTAATATACCATCATTGTAATTACATATAAAACTTCGTCTATACTCTAATAAAAAGTTCTCCAGACCAAAAAGGTCACCTTAATACCAAAAAAAAAAAAAAAAAAAAGTAAAATATTCTACGTATAAGAAGAATTATGTATTTTGGGCTTGATTATCAATATTGCTTAGTGTAAGTTACGATGCTATGTTTTTACCAGATCTACTCGGAATTTTGCAATTAATAGTAAGATAGTCAAGGTTCTTAATAGCTTTTGTGTCGTAAGCATTAAAGCATATTTTAAATACTTTTTTGGTTAATTTTACGAGTTGATTCATAGTTCCACATTTCTTAAGCTTTTCTATGTTAGCACCGCTTAAATATCTTTTTAGTGCTTTCACTGTGACCTCCTGAGTTATAAATTCGTTAATATCATTTCTTGATGGGGCTGATATTTGTTCTGATTGTTCCTCTCTTGAATGTTTGTTTTTAAATTCAATGACTAGTGCAACTATTCTTTGATTAAATTTACTTCGGAAGTCCGTTAATACACGCTTTGAATAGCAGATGATTTCCACAGCCTCATTGCTATAAAGTTCATAATTAAAGATTTTTGTTATAAAATTTTCAATAGCTTCAGCTGGTGGATTTCTACACCTTAGAAAAAGACACTTTATTTCTTCATGCCAAAGTTGGGCAAGCTCCTATATAAAGTTATAAAAATTTTAATTTTTATTAGTATAAGTGATATAAAATATAATTTTTAAAAAAAAACAAACAAAACCTTATCATCACCAATATTATTCGATATTTCAGGCTGAGAGATCATAAATCTAACGATGCATACATAGCATCACACATTTTATTTGCTGTTGCTAATACATCTGGTCTTTGTAAAACCAGCCATTGACAAACTTCGAGAACATTTGTCATATCACTCAAAGCATCGGGCTTTTTTAAAATTCATAGCAATAATTGTAATTGTAATAAATAATATAAAACTATGTAATTTGACAATCATATTTACTATTCTCTTTCTAGGAGATTCAACAGCCTCATCATCTTTATTTACATAATTTGACAATCTCAATTTATCTGATCTCCTTCTAGGAGATTCAGCAGTCTCATCATATTCATTCATATAATTTGACGATCTCAATTTATCTGATTTCCTAGGCGATTCAAAAGTCTCATTATCTTCATTCATATAATTTTCTTGATAGTAGTCTAAATGATCTAATAATCAGAATATGCTAAATAAAAAATAATTGCTATAGAATATAGCCAAAGAAGCATACCGATGTTATCATTACTATCGTTACTATCAAATATTTGAAGCAGATCTGAGACTGTAACTTTACTTTGTTGTTGGCAGCTACCTTCGTTCTAACTGTTGCCAGATAATTCAATTGTCTTAACGTTACATTTGAAATCAACAATACTTTTATTAACTAGTATAGATAATATAGTTAGAAACAAATTAACAGAATATTATACAACTTTTCAATTATAAATGATACTAACTTTTAGTTTTGGTTGTTGTTGGTAAATTGCGACTTGAGCTTGCAATTTTAGATACTGTTGGCACTATATTCAATACATTTAAATAAATAGTGAATTTGCCAATAACCTTAAATTAGCATACTTTTTCTTTACCAGTATTTGGATTAATATCTTTATAGCGTAAATCTGAATCATTAGATTCATATTTAAGGCAGAAGGTTCGATACTTGTTTCACGCTTTCTTTCATGTTGAGTTTCTTTGCGGCTACCTTTTTCATGACTACCCTTCCACGACTTCCTACTTTTTCTATTCTATTTTCCCTTCCATAACCCCCTAAAAAAGAGTAATTATAAATATAATTATTATTCAGTGTAATAACCTTTATAAATATAAAGCCAACACCTACTTGAGGCCTTTTTTAGTTGGTTTATTTCTTCTAATTCTTCAACTATCGGTCCTTTTGTTTTTGTCGGTTTATCTTAAAACATTTAGAAAAAAAAAATACAAAAACAATCAGTAAAAGCCAGAGCTTTACATTTATGTATCCTAAAACTCTTCACCATTATAGCGTAGATAAGAATTTTTACTACTTTCAATGCATATTAACTACCTTGATGAGTTGCATTTTTTACTTTTCTCAAGTCGTATTCTTTCATTTTCAGGGGAGAGAATCAACAAGAGAGAATTAATTAATTTCAATACACTCCATATTATATACTATTAATACGTAATAAATCACTTCAACAATCAATGAATTTGACGAAACTCTTGCATGAATGATAAATATTAAATTACATGATCACGTTAATTTCTGCCTTGACAACTCTCTTAATAAGGCATCTCGAACCAGATTTGTATTTTAATATATGCTTTTTTTTTTTTTTTTGACTATATTATTTAAGTTTCAATATCGTACTATTATTGCAAAATTTAATAATTAAAAAGTATTTTGATCTGAAGCAAAAGCCACATTTGAAATGTGATATTACTGTACCATCATAATACCGCAACACCTATGCCACAATATACCATCAAGCTTAATACCAAAAACTTTGAAATTCTTGAATTTTTGAAAAACATGAGATTTTATTGTATTCTAAATAAAAACTACAATATAAGATATCAAGGCTAGAGGTTTGGCTTTTAAATTAAGCTGTGTAAATATAACTAATAGTGCATATATCAATAAATTTTTGTTTAAAAATTTGGCACGCTGTGAACAGGTAAAACAGTTTGTTGCTAAATATTCAGTATGTTGTAGGAAGAAGGCATAATGATTAAACGAAACCTGAAATATTTATTATATTATTATATATTATATATATATTGTCAAGGGCAAAAATAAACCGTAACTGTAGTTCAATGATGATCGATCATACCTTAAACCCGATTAGATACATGCATTACATCTTCCCCAAAATCGAACGAATACGAAAATCACTAATAAGGCTTGATCATATGAAAAACAATTGGTAATAAAATTACATAGTGGTAAAAACCTAAAGAGATTATTAGTAAAATATTGGAAAAATGATGATATAAAAATGTAATCTTTGGTGATGCCCAACAGGGCCAAAGATCATAACAAAGAAACAGTTAATAAATAAAGTTGTTACATAGTTAAAAGAGAAACAGTAAAGTAGAGAAAGAAAGTATACTCGCCAAATCATAACGTCTCTAGTAGAGATCCAAGTAGATTTACCATTGATAATTTGAACAACAAAATGAAACTTTAAAAAAAGAAAGGAAGTCTTATTAGAAAAGGAACAATGAAAGAAACACACGAGATAAAATAAGAATCCAGTAGAGATCCTAAAAGTATTTTTTTCTGAAAAATAATAACACTTCGACATACAGCCACCATTCATATTTATACCATAAATTGACAATTTATTACTTACAAAGTATAAAGCTAATTAGGATCATCAAATAAACTTATGATTAGCAACCTGATTCAAATAAAAGCAATAACTCAAGTGAGGCAAAAAAAAAAACTTCTATTAACATAAGCCAAATTCAAGTGTATTGATTTTACTTAATTATATAATGTACGCATTTGTGGCATGCTTTTCGCTTGTTAGCTTTTGTGAGCACTAATTTGATTAAGACACTTGGTTTGTCTTTGATTACGCCTTTCGATTACTCTTTATTAAATGCTTTGCATCTACTATGATTCAATTTCTGTAACCCTATAACCCTTAAAATTGCTATCGCTTATGGCTTTACAAATATTAAGAAAAGACATTACCAAAATTTTTAAAACCATATAAAGTAGATACAAGGTCTTCCAAAGTAACATAAAGAGAAGATACTTATCTTCTAAAGTAGATGTATTGTAGCAAGATTCTCCAATAGTAACATTCTCGATATAAGATAAAAGTTGTGTTTATTTAAATAGTTACACACGACTATAGCAATTTAGAAAACACTAGCAAGATTAAATCGAGAGAAAGTAAAAGCATTAGTAGAGAAAGATCTCTATCTAACAAAATCAAAAATTTGAAAATCTAAATATTATATATTACAATTAGACTAGGCAGAGTCAGAGTTATAATTAAATCTCAGCTATATAAAAAGATATAAAAGTAACCTTCATCATATCTAACACAACTCTTTCTACTTTTGCGATTGTAGTTTAGCATTTTTCCATAATAAAATGCATAGAAGCCGTGGTCTATTGATTAAATTGTTTTCTTTATACCAAAATACGAACTTCTCTAATCGTAATATCCTTACAAAGCATAAGTGACTAGGATTATTTAAATTAGGTAAATAGAAACATTTAGAATAAGTAAAAAATATACAATGTACGTATCAATATCGTAAATAAGCTCAATTTAATACCTTTACAGGATCAAATGTAAATTATAGTGAAGAGAATGGAATGGAGGTGGAATATGAAATGGATGAATTGGAAATAGAAGCGCAAGATGAATTGGAAACACAAGATAAATTGGAAATGCTTGATGAATGGGAAACATAGGATGAATGGGAAACGCAGGATGAATGGAAAATGCAGGATGAATAGGAAATACAGGATAAATGAAAAACGCAGGATAAATGGAAAACGCAGGATGAATGGAAAACGCAGGATGAAAACTATATAGAGGAGGAGGGTTATAGTAATAATCATAATGATGAAGAAGATCTAATAGTTGATGCATTAGCAAGTGTGCCCAATATAAACGAACTTTACTTTGAAAATTTGACTTCTTTATTATTGTTTTGTTGGATACAAAAACATAATATTTGTAAGTTCAATTTTATTTGTTACAATAAATATATAATTTAAGTAATACGTATTCTCTTTGATAGCAACAAGCGCTTATAACGACCTGGTAGAAATATTATAGCATCTGGCTTTTAATGCAAATAATGTCATAAAAAATGTATGAAGATTTCGAAAATGGAGACATCGATTACTGTTAATGCCAATTAGAGCACATTTCATTAAAATTAATCAGAAGAAGACTCTGTCGACTTATAAAGAAACAAAGCTTTGTTATTATTTATCTATTTTGGATATTATTTGGAATATCTTAAATAACCCATCACTATATAATATGTTATATTTTGGGCTGGAAATCAAAGTTGACGCGAAAAAAGAATATTGGCATGGTGATCTTTGGGCCGAATCACCATTGATCGGTCAAGACAAAATAGCTATTAATCAAGATATTAAAATCATAAAGTCTTATTATTATTAATTTCCCTTCAGTATAGTCAACTATTTTATGCAACTGTATAGATATTCTAGTTAAGATTGTTATTTTTTATTAAATACTCTAATCATACCACTTAATAAATTTAATATATATTATTAAATATAACAGAGTGAAACCTGAGTTGCGAAATAGTAAAATCTGCTTTGTTGATCGGGTTAGGGTGAAATCTGCATTTTATTATATAAAAGCAGGATTTCACTATTTTGCAACTCAGGTTTCACCCTGTTATATTATGATAAATTGCTTCATATATTAATAATTATTGCATGTTTAATTACTATATCAGAATATTATCATCCAGGTAAATTTGTTGTATATAAAGAAGACAATAGACGAAGATTTGGACAAATACGATCAATAATAATAAACTTCAAATAAAAATACAACAGATTTATACTTATAATGAATTGCCGAACAATTTTTACAGTGTTGCACGTTCGACTACGCAAGAATCGCAATTGTGGTTGGTAGATCAGTATTTGGAAGAGGGTAATATTATTGTAAACACCAATAAAATCATTAAAAAAATCAATATTTCAATTATTCGCAATTCAACTACTATTGATGGTCTTTACATTAAAGAAATTGTATATAAAAGCAATAACTGCTAGAAGTTGTAGGATGTAAAGTTAGACTATATACATCTATGCGAATATTCTGCTCTAATTTCACCACCGTCACAATATGAGCATCTTCAAGTTTTAAAGTTATTTGTCGATCTCTACTATGATGATTTCAGAACTTATTGAAATATCTACCATTCTCTAGGTGGCATTTATATCCAACTAGGGAATATGCCATTTGATATTAGAAAAAATTTACAAAATCATTTCGTCTTGGGATTTGTTCCTTTTGGTAGAAACTTCAATGACTTTATTCACCTTTTCATTTCAGATATGAAATGATTAGAGCAAGGAACATTAATGAACATTCAAGGAAATGATTATTGGTACCTTCCTTTTATACTCCTTATTAAATTTTTTTTAATAATAATCAAAAACATTGTCTTTGACTATTTGACCCATTTTAATCAATATGCATATTACATTCAAATATATATTTGAAAAGGTTAATTACTAATTTCTGGAAGAGGGTACAACCTATCCAATATATATATCCAGTGCGATTTTGAGTTGAAAGAATAGTTTGTAGATACTTCAAATCTATTTGAGTATTTTTTGTAAAATTATAATTTACCTTCTTGATGACAAGATTTTTTTTTTTGAATAGTCAATAAAAATGGGTCAGGTGGGTCAAAAATAAAGTTGCAGATGAAACTAATTAATTTAACTAGGAAACTAGTACACCGTTGAAGATTAGTTTCATCTATAACTCTAGTTTCACTATCGGTGCACCAATTTCGCTAGTTTTACCTGGTGCACTATTGGTGCATCATTAAAGATTAGTTTTACCTGCAACTTTAGCCAAGAACAATGTTTTGCATGATTGATCATTTGCTCAATCTTTTTATCATTGTTTTATAATAAAGATTTAGTCATGACATGATTGATTATTATCTCTACTCCTTATTTTCTACAATATATTTTGATATTAAAGAATGTGAAATATTTAGGGTTGTTGCCAGTCTTGAGTGTGTCACTTCAGACCTACCACAAGGCAATGACCTGGTAGGAGTAAAATAGCATGGCGCAGAAAGAGGATGTAGGACATGTTTGGTTACAAGAGAAAATGCAACTGTCAATAATCTAGATATTGCACCTATTTCCCGTTACCATCACATTACCAATACCCAATTCGACGATATTTTCGCAGCACTAACAGTTACTCAGCGAAATGAAATTGCAAAAGAATATGGGCTGCAAAAATTTTTTCCAATTCTTGATCAGCTTCAACGTGAAAGACATCTCCAATCACCACAAGATATCTATCACATAATGGTAAGCAAAATATCAAAACTTCTTAAATTAACTATTGCTATGTTATCACCAAATGGTGAGCAAAGATTCCTTGGAGTTTGGAAATCATTCGAGTATCCTTATCAATGGTCAAAACTTCCAAACCCTATCAGTCACAATGAAAGCTTTATGATATCAGACTGTTTTAGATTAAGGATAGTAATACCATTTATATTACACAGATTATTGATGACTAACTGTTTTAGGCCACTAGTGTTTACAAACTTACAAGAACGAACAGGCTTGTATCATAATCAAGTGGCTAGTGCAGTCATTAGGTGCTGGTTAATTGTAGCAAAATGCTCTCGACTAGTATTTAAATTTCTCTTAACAAACGGTGATTATGAAGATTTAGAAAAAAATTTAAAAGAAGAAAGACAAGCCTTAACTGCGGTAAAGTTTATAATAATAATAACATTTATTATATTTATTTGCTATGTGTACCTTACCAAGTTTTACGTATTTATAACAAACCGTAAATTTCAATTTCCTTTTTGGAGATTACCTGAAGCTTTGATACGTACTGTACGTACATATGTATATACGTACGTATAAAGTATCAGGTATATTTTGCAATTAGCATTAGTACGTACCGGTATAGTAATAATTAATTCCTTTTTTGGAAAATACCTAAGTTACTAGTAGCCTTCTTGAACATTTTTATTAAAGTGGGCTAAGACAGCTATTTTATTATAAATTGTAGATATATACCAGATTGGTGAAAAGTAACTGAATAGTGGCCTTTTTTTAATATTATTTTAACGTTTAATAATAATCATTACAATAAATTAAAATTTATTAATTTATTGCAATGATTACTAAACGTTAAAATGATATTAAAAAAAGGCCACTGTTTAATTACTTTTCACCAACCCGGTATTTACTTACCATTGCTAATTTAGTGTAGTAATATTGGAAAGTAAACACTATAAGTATAGAATCTTGGCACACATGACAAATAAATACATTATATTTTAAAATTTGCTAATCTATGTTTAAATACAGTTATTTTCAGACTTTAGGAGTCTTCCTAACCTTCATGCTTGTTACCATTTACTTCGGCATGCAAAAACTTTTAGAACTCTTACAAATACAGAAGTCGGAACAAAAGAGATAGCCCACTGCATTTTTAAAAATATAGTTCCACATACCAACCATAAAAATGTTGAATTGGACTTATTAAAATGTTATACAACTCTACAATCTATTCGACATTTAGCAGATGGTGGATTTGATACTCGATATTCATGAACTAGTGTTGATTTTATTAATATATCCTGAGATTATAAATATCTATTCAAGAATTGGTTTATTATAAAGGGTTCACTATATGAAGACAATGAAGAATCCAATAGTAATATCGCTTCTTATTTATTTATTATGCATTATTTGATAACTTTAATATGTTAATTATAATACAGAATATACTATGTATTATTAATGTAGTATGCTCCCTATCTATTCACATTCAAAATATAAAGCTAAGAAAACCAATAACTACACACAGAATAATAGTCAGAACTGATACAGCTATGTTTCAATCTGACTTGGCTCTTGCTTATTAAAGTTTTGGACATAACGCATTATTAATTAATCGATCATGTGGTTTTTACAAAAGTGTATCCTATATACAAACTGAAGGCTACGCCGAAGTTAAATGCCGCTTACATAAGAATAATGTAGTGATGATTCGAGAAAATGACTATGGTGAAAGTTATGCAATGATTAAAGCTATTTTTAAGCACAAGAGCAACAATGGTCATTATTATCCATTTATTTATGTTGATTGGTTTGAAAATACATCGAGAGAACACATAAAAGTAAATTGTCCACTTTTTATCCTTAATCAAAATACTTCACGTCGCAAAATTCTTTCTTTAACAATTGTAAATGAGATTCGAAAAGCGCATTTTGTATACAATTGTAATGCAAGATGTCAAGGTAATAATCATGACTCGGAACACAAATACTATCTAAATAATATTTTCTTTTTTAAGGCTATTTAGATATTTTTTAATTTAAGCTAGTGACAAATTTTTAAATTGAGTATTGATTCTGATGTTTTCATGATTATGAATACTTTTCTGAATAAGAAACTTCCTTATAGAGAATTTTTGTATAAAATTTAAATTTATGCGTATTTTGCAAACTTATCATTTGCAAATATAAAAGAATATTTTTATTCGTTGCATATAGCCATTGTGAGTAGAGGTTACAATGTTAAATAGCAAACAAAAGTCGCCAATTGACAGGTCTCAAACTTAGTATGAGTATTTTCAAGGTCACGCACATACAGTTGAATAATTATCTTAAAAATAAGTCGTATATACGTAACACAACTCCTTTTTCTTTCACTAGTAGTCGGTGGAATTTCTAGTTCTGTTCTTTTTATAACTGCAATTTTAAAAGTATGTTCTCAATTCAACATTTATTATTTTACAATATCTCTTTCATTTGTACTGGGTCACGTACTGTACCACGAGATCACAGTGATATCTAACTGATGATGAAATCGACTGATCTGGCTATAAAAGTGATTTGTAATATAATCAGATCTTTTTATCCTCTTTCTCGAACGTGTTCGTACGTATAAACGTATATCAGTCGCAGGGACAAGAAACTGTGGAACGATTTATATTACAAAGATATTTTTACTTGGATCCTTCTACTAATACGATTTGGGGCTGAGATTCTAAAAAGTTACCTCTATTTCAGGAAAAAAACTTCTCTTTTTGTATTTTTTTTAATATTTGAAGCACAAATTCTAGCAAATATTACTACTTAATTTTTCTTTATACTTACTTCATTCTATCATACCTAGAATACCAAAATTACCCGAATACCAGGAATTCTAAGAATTACGGAACTCATACTATTTGGTCATCACAGCACATATCTTTTCTGCCTGATGCTAAATACTGTATGCCAAATCTCTAATTATGTGATCAAATATAACTTCTATTTTTCATCCAGAATGGTGATAAGTGTTGTGAGGTTTTCTTTTTAGTCATTTCATTCGTAATTATATAGTTATTAAATGTTTTTAACAAATGTATCCCTTTATTTTCAGGCTTGGTTCTACAGATATGAGTCCTTTCTTGGACACTCCTATCAATAACCTCCTTCGTTAGGCTTTTCTCTGAACATTGAACTCCCGTTTTGGCAAGTATTTATGCTTCGCTTGCTTGGTTATTGCTTTTCATCAATTTACTATCATATTATATCACGCTAGCTTTTTAAAATTTTTAATTTGCTTCGCAAGCCTAATCAAGATCAAATGTTCGCATTCATTATTTCCAGAGGCAGCATCTCTAAGCTTTTTAAGCACTTTGTTATTTCTAGATGTAATATATTCTATTAACATATTCTATGTTGACATAGAGCATTGAACTTACATTTGTCCCTTTCTTCATTTTGGCCAAGCTTATATTCTCTGGTGGTAAAAGTTAGTTATCCCATTGATATTACTTATGTCTGTAGGTTCTTAATAATAAATGAGCAATTATATTCATCCATTTTAGGTCCGACTTTATGTTATTAGTAGTATCTACAGGGTTATGCATTCCATTTGCATCTTCTTTTCAGAAAATTTTTGACAGTGAAATATGTGTGATAGGTAACTTTCACAGTTCTACATCAAAGGTTGGGTTGACTCAGAACTCTCTTCTGCAAGTAAAATGTACCAGGTCGTAACCTTGGTTCTTTAATTTTTCTCTCGTAGTTATTCTTGGCTTTTAACGTCTTTTCTTTATTATGTTAATGCTACTGATTTTATTGTTTATATATTTAGGCAATCAGACTCTTATTTTTTATCCAAACTTTTTGAACCGCTATTAGTATCCACATTCGTATTTTTGGTTTCATCATCACATTTATTATTGCATTTAGGATCTCTTAAGCAACCAATACGTATCCTTTCATAAATGCGTTTAATTTTTTTTTAATATCCTGTTTAATTTAACTCACCATTTTTATTTTTTGTACTAGGACTGTTTTGGTATCTCAACCTTTCGTTAGATAGGCGTTACAAGACTTGTTGGTTGGACGTATAATCATTATTTTTTTCAGTTTTCTAATTATTAATATATTTTTTTAATTATATTTACTGGATATTATTAGATGTTTTCTAGTTTGGGAATGCATTTCTTTTTCTTTGTGCTGCATTATTGACTATTTTCTGCTTATAGTGATACAAGGCAATACCACACTGAGGCATTATCAAAGAGGCGTGGAACGATTTGGACGATTATTGGTTTTTTTTTAAAATTCCTCGAAGATCAGTATTTTATTAATCATTTTATAATTTATATAAGCTACTAATTGTGCTACTTTAGGGCTTTTACCTGTTTTTCCTTATCACTTTCTCACTATCGACATTTTTAAATTCTATGGTGAATTTTCTTTTTACCTATTATTTTTAAATCTTAACTTTATTACAATTTTTTCAACACAAGATCTCCAATTCATTACTCTATCTTACTATTTTAAAACGTGGACTCTTCAATCTTGAATCATCCTTGATTTGATTATGCATTGGTCTTTTGACTATATGTGTTTTATTCAATTCAGTTCACTCAATATGTGTATTAATGATCATTGATCATGATATACAAGGTTATGATCCTTGGGTCACGATTTCTTAGCCACGATTAACTTTACCTGAAACTATAGAAGCTTTTCATGTATGAAAAAATTCTTGTGAGCGATAATATATTTTCTTAGAATCTAACAATTAGGTTGGTATAATATTTTGTAGATTAATATATATATAGGTATATTTTATTTGTAATTATATTTTAATATTAGATGTAATTTTTAACTATGAAATATTTATAATATTTTTAAATAAAAAATATATTTATTGTATAATTACTATATAATTATTTTTATTTAAATATATATATATTATATATTTACTTTGTAATTGTTATATATTTACTATATATTTACTATATATTTACTATATATTTACTATATATTTACTATATATTTACTATATATTTACTATATATTTAC